CCTATCCCTAGATAGGCTACGGATTGTAGAGTATCCGTAAAGCAAGAGGCTATCTAATTATGAGATTGTAGTGTGATTTATCTGTTTTTGTATGTGTAAGTTTGTTTGTGTGGTTCCGAGGATCATTATCCCCGCGGCCCGGTCTCTTGGGCAGGCCTCGTGGTTGGCGGTTTGCTCAACTAGGCTGTTATTGTCGCCTCTGCTCACCACAACCTGACGTATAAATTACATCCCGGTTATCAAGTTTCCATTTGAATACCATAAAAGTTTGGCCAAGTTACACCCCTTATGTATTGAGGAAAAAAGTGATGGTCTTGGATCTCTTAATGTTGGTAGAACTGTGTTGTACCGAACCTTTTGTATCAATTACACTCCAAAAGGGATTATTTTGTACTTTCTGCCATATCCTATGGTCTTTTAAGGAATAATTTCCGTGTGCACATTTAGAACCTATATGGTTTAAGTGTAAATTATTATATATCTCTTTTGCCTTCGCTCTATACATGATAGTTTGAGACATTTTTTCCGGGCTTGGCGCCCTCTCTTTTTATAATTACTTACTCTGTGAACGAATTGTCTAAATCAGACAGTGGTCAGGAGGCTCTATTATGTGTAGCCTGTAGTGTGTAGTGACAATCTTAGTGACACAGTCTGTATCTTTGTGATCCAACCTGTATCTTAATGACATCCCCTGTATCTTAGTGAAATAGCCTGTATCTAATTGACCCAACCCATATCTAAGTGACACAGCCTGTATCTTAGTGACACGCTCTGTATCTTATTGACACCGTATCTTAATCAGAGTCTGTATATTAGTGACAGTCTGTATCTTATTGGTACAATCTGTATCTTAGTGACTATCTTTGTGAACCAACCTGTATCTTAATTTGTTGTTATCTCAGTGACATACACTGTATCTTAATGACGTTGTATTTCACAGACCTAGCCTGTATCTTAGTAAACCAGCCTGTATCTTAGTGACAAAGCCTGTATCTTAATGACACAATTTGTATTTTAGTGACACAGCCTGTTTCAAAATATATCGCAAACATGTGGGGGGATGTGGTGGGGGGGATTGAGGATGGAGCCCCCCCCCCCCGTCCAAAACCCAGACATAACCGGACGACGCTCAGGCTATTAATATGTACAAAGTTTCCGGAGGAGGTGATATACTTTCTTCAATTTATAGTAATGTAAATTTCTTTGAGGATTATATAATCCAGTTGGCGCAATTTTAAAACCAGTCTAGCGAGTGGAGAGAAAAAAAAGACAACTAATAGTATAATGTACAGTTGAAAAATATTTCCACTCTATATTTCAGCATCAAAATAATTAATTTATCACCAAAATGTGATCAATTTGGATGTGTGTGTGGGTTGCATGATAGGTAAGTTAGACTTGTATGCAACTAGTTCACACAAATATAAATGTCTTACGAGAGCATACATAATTGGGTCCAGTTCGTGAACCCGTTTGTGTGGCTACAACCTTGCCGCCCCAACCCACAGTGTAGTTGCAGAGTTTACAATAATGAAATTAAAATAGGAGTGGAAGTTACTGGTGGGCGCGTGGCCACGTTGCCGTACGGGATTACCCGAGAGAGCAGAGCCGGAGCATCAGTCTTGCTGGGAGGGCGAGAGAGCCTAGTGCCACCTGGGTGTCTGCGGGGGTTTGTGTTGTAAGAGATCATGGTAACAGGCCTCTGGGTCGTCAGGGCGTCAAGCGCTACGTCTGCCCCTCCTTGGTATGCGTTAAAAGGACAATAATATTGGACACTTAACGGTTAGTTTAGTAAATTTATTGTGCACCGCTCACAAGTCCTGAGAGCGGCAGTGGAGCAGGTTACACAGGCACTCAAGGCTTAAATGTAAGTACAATATCGTAATTTGTTATAAATATTCCAAATTGTGTTGTTTTCGGGCAGAATACTCAGTATAGAGTTAAATTTGGTCTAATTGAGTTTGTTTTTTTACTTAATAATTCATAGATTACTAGGCTATTTCTCGATGGGAGTAACACCCTCTTCCCTCTCGCCGCTCCAACACTGTCTTGCTCTATCCCCAGTATTGCGTAAGCGCTGACAAATCTTGACAGATCCTCCTTTATCACCGATCACTGCTACTGGACTGTAAAGTTGTTGTGTTTCACAGTGTGCGACAGGAGCTTGGGCGGGAGCGGCGGAGGAGAGACCGTTGTCCACGTACAACATCCCGGGCCTGGCCTGCCCTCATCACCTCAGTGTTGCTTGTTTGTCCTCCAGTGTGGCGATGTAAACACGGATCAGCTGCCAGCTTACTGTTCCTTACTGAGGCTCTTAGCTGTTGTTGTTTAAAATTCAGCTACTCGGAACAAAAAGTTCCAAGTAGCACGGGCTATGGTGAGCCCGTAGTGGACTTACCTGGCACAAGAGTGGGGCTGTAACTAGGGCTTTTAGCCACTTGGATCAAATTTATATACATACACACGTGTGTATACACACATACCTTGTCTCATTTTGTTTGGTTAAGACCCGACTCAAATTCTGTTTATTAAACAGAATATTGAATTAAGCACACAGTATACCCGTTATCTCCATAGTCAGTTGCGTTTAGCGAGGTGCTATATACTGTTTTCGCGCTCTTCAACCCTGACAGCTGACAATTGTTAAAAAAGCAGTGCCATGGCAGTGTAGATACCTCTGGCAGGAAGTGCTTGAGAGGTTTATTTTTGTGTGCTGAGCGGCTGGTACAGCAAGGCGTGTGTGCCGAGCGGCTGGTACAGCAAGGCGTGTGTGCTGAGCGGCTGGTGCAGCAGGACGTGTGTGCTGAGCGGCTGGTGCAGCAGGACATGTGTGCTGAGCGGCTGGTGCAGCAGGATGTGTGCTGAGCGGCTGGTGCAGCAGGATGTGTGCTGAGCGGCTGGTGCAGCAGGACATGTGTGCTGAGCGGCTGGTGCAGCAGGACATGTGTGCTGAGCGGCTGGTGCAGCAGGACATGTGTGCTGAGCGGCTGGTACAGCAGGATGTGTGCTGAGCGGCTGGTGCAGCAGGATGTGTGCTGAGCGGCTGGTGCAGCAGGATGTGTGCTGAGCGGCTGGTGCAACAGGATGTGTGCTGAGCGGCTAATACAGCAGGATGTGTGCTGAGCGGCTGGTACAGCAGGATGTGTGCTGAGCGGCTGGTACAGCAGGATGTGTGTTGAGCGGCTGGTGCAGCAGGATGTGTGCTGAGCGGCTGGTGCAGCAGGATGTGTGTGTTGAGCGGCTGGTGCAGCAGGATGTGTGTGCTGAGCGGCTGGTGCAGCAGGATGTATGCTGAGCAACTGGTGCAGCAGGATATGTGTGCTGAGCGGCTGGTGCAGCAGGAAATGTGTGCTGAGCGACTGGTGCAGCAGGATGTGTGCTGAGCGGCTGGTACAGCAGGATGTGTGTGCTGAGCGGCTGGTGCAGCAGGAAATGTGTGCTGAGCGACTGGTGCAGCAGGATGTGTGTGCTGAGCGGCTGGTACAGCAGGATATGTGTGCTGAGCGGCTGGTGCAGCAGGAAATGTGTGCTGAGCGACTGGTGCAGCAGGATGTGTGTGCTGAGAGGCAGGTGCAGCAGGATGTGTGCTGAGCGGCTGGTGCAACAGGATGTGTGCTGAGCGGCTGGTGCAGCAGGATGTGTGCTGAGCGGCTGGTGCAGCAGGATATGTGTGCTGAGCGGCTGGTGCAGCAGGATATGTGTGCTGAGCGGCTGGTGCAGCAGGACGTGTGTGCTGAGCGGCTGGTGCAGCAGGGCGTGTGTGCTGAGCGGCTGGTGCAGCAGGGCGCGTGTGCCGAGTGGCTGGTGCAGCAGGATGTGTGTGCTGAGCGGCTGGTGCAGCAGGACATGTGTGCTGAGCGGCTGGTGCAGCAGGGTGTGTGTGCTGAGCGGCTGGTGCAGCAGGACGTGTGTGGCGAGCGGCTGGTGCAGCAAGGCGTGTGTGCTGAGCGGCTGGTGCAGCAGGGCGTGTGTGGCGAGCGGCTGGTGCAGCAGGGCGTGTGTGCTGAGCGGCTGGTGCAGCAGGGCGTGTGTGCTGAGCGGCTGGTGCAGCAGGGCGTGTGTGCTGAGCGGCTGGTGCAGCAGGATATGTTGATCTCGGGTAAGCATATGCCGTATGGTTTGAATGGCTAGAGGAGGTCTGGCACAGAGGGTCGTGGGAATATGAACAGTGTAGTGTGTATTGTATTACCTAACAACAGTTTGTCGATCATATATGACAATATCTAACAACTCCTTTGTTTCTTACCGCATCTCATTTTAGAATTGTGGGCGAACAATGTTCTTAAGAACTGAAGTTCGTACAGACGTTGTGAAGTTGTGAACAGGACATGCTGTCGAACATCTCGTCGAGCAAGAGCCATTGACGTTCCTGTAATGGTATGCCATTAGTTTTGTCGAGAGCTGGAAGCTGGGGAAATGTGCACCGGTTGTGTGATCTATGTACTGGCGTGAGGGGAGGCAGGATGGTGAATGTCATGCCAGCCGGAAACACAGGCAGAGTGGCCGGGCGGCAACTATTAGTCAGAATTCGTGTGACTCGGTACTGTGTCTCTCTGTATCTATCTATGTAACTGTGTGTTCTGATATACATTTCCACGGGTATTTAAGACGGAAACGAGAGCTAAACGCCCCCTACCAGGAGAGAGCCTCTATAGCTATCTTCCTACCACACCTAGACAGCGGCTTGTTTGATGTAAACAACACAGCCACTCGCCTGAAATTATCAGCTTAGTAGAGAGCGAGGTCACCTGATGCCAAAAGTCCCAAAAGTGATTCCATGCACCCGCCAAACCCCTTGTTTATGAATGAAAAACGGTTTACACACGACTCACAACTGATTTCGTTCGAACACTTCCAGAACAAGTGCTTCATTGAAGAGTTTTGTTTGAACCACAATGCTGTAAATGCTTCACCCACGTACTGCAAATACAAATAATCGCCAACAGAACCTAAACACCTAACCTATGCCTATATATGCACAATATGCTAATATATTATATTATTAATTTATATTTGAGAAAATTCCCGTTTTGAATGAACAGCATGTAAAAATTTATGAACGCGTCTGTGGGGTCGACCGCTGGATGTAATGGACTTGAGTCGAGGACGGGTTGATAACGTTTTAAGTTTTACTTAACAATAAAGGGCAGTGAGATGTCAGGTCGCACTTTAAATAAACATATAATTACTTTTTGATTGCAAAGTATGCTAAGAAAACATTCATATTCACCCCCCCCCCCCCACGCCCCCACTCGACTCGTAATTGTTTCTTTTTCTCGCTACACGTCTTGAGTTTTTTTCCGGCTCCCTTTGTCAACCAATCACTCGCTAGTAAACACCCTGTGTTCGATTCTAATTGGTTCCAGCTGAATAATCCGAGCGAAAATGTAGTGCTTTTCGGGAACAATAGAAATGTCAGCTGCTTTGGAGTGGCCAATCGCATTCAGCTACACATTCCATTCTGCATTTTAATTGGAGGAGGACGCCACAAGTTTCTATTCGCTGTGTGTATTTGATTTGATTGTGGTTTGAAATCATAGTGTTTATAGCCTTCAGTAATGGCCATGCAGGTGGTGGTGGTGAGGGTATTGTTTACACTCTCAGTTGTGGGAACAGTGAGCCGTGCTGGTGACGCTTGTACTGACAGCGACAAGCGAAAACTGACGCTATTTTTAAGAGGACGGGTTGGACACTCACGTCCCGGAGAAAACAATTGTTAAAACCAGGAGTAACGCTGCTTTACAGCTATAAGAAGATATCGAGACCTGCGAACCGTGTGTGTGTGTTCCTGGTGTCTACAGCTGACCCTGAGTCGTGGAGTCTGGCCCCAGTGTGGAGGCAGCTCAATAATGAAGAAATTTAAGGAATTACCAGTGGAAGGCGCTATATAAAGTAAGCGTTCGTGTTACCGTTGAAGGTCACGTTGTTTTATTAGTATGAAATATTTGTAATATACCATTCTGTAGCTTTGAATATGAGTCATTACTTAGTAAAATAGGTCAAATAGTTTTAAAACCAGTATATATTTTCCACACATTTGTAACCTGTGAGTGGAGTGCCCCGCAGTGCGGCGAGTACCCCCCCCCCCAGCCAGGAGTACCCCGCACTGCCGCGAGTAGTCCCCCCCCAGCCAGGAGTAACCCCCACTGCCGCGAGTAACCCCCCCCCAGCCAGGAGTACCCCGCACTGCCGCGACTACCCCCCCCCCCCCAGCCAGGAGTAACCCCCACTCCCGCGAGTACCCCGCTGGAGGTCTTGGCTACTAAATGTAATAAAATACCTCGTATCTTACCATAAATATTTCTTACCTTTCCACGAGTGCCACATTTCCTCTGTCCTTTCCCTGCGAGTGCATCATCTTCCACCCTTCGTCCAGGGTGCAGCATGGGTGAATTTTTTCCTCTCCCCTCATTTTTTCCCTCCATTTTTCAGATAGTCCCACGTTTAGAAATCTTCAATGTTGTGTTGTATACCATCTCAGATGGCATGGTACCATTCACTCTTCCCTAGTTTTTAAATTTAAATTTTGCCCCTCCCTACTGTTACCTATCGTTCGTTACGGCTCGTGACCCTACAACAGCTAACTTTAAAAAAGGTCTAGGGTTACTAAAAAACTGCTGTTCACAAGAGCGGGTCACCAGTATAACCCCTTGATAAGCAATGAGCACTTTGTTAAAAATCTTCCTTTAGGACTGAAAAATTATACATATAACTTATAATATATATATTGAATACAGTATAATATAAAAACACAGATGGTAAAGTTAACTTATACAACAAGCCAAAAGTAGTCATCACACTTAATATAATATAATAAAATATGGCACAACATGAAGTAACAGACTTATCTCCCACATGTTATTCCTTCGAGTCCCTTAAAGCTACTGACTCTCGCTCTGTCGCTTACCCATAATCCTCTCCTCTGCCTCATCCAGGATGAGGGATGGAAACTAAAGACTTTTTAATATTTAAACTAATTGAACAACCACTTGTTCTCAAAACACATAAGAATGCAAATTACATATAATAGTTACTTTCAAAATATATAAGTACAATGCCACCTGCTTAATTACAGTAAATAAACAATTATATAAACTTAGTAAAAGTGACATCTGGAACTCCCAAACTGAACAGGTCCAGCAATTCTAACTTCCCGAATCTAACAGGTATTAGACGTGTGAAAAGCAACCGCGCTCCTGTCCCCACTGATGCTGCCACACCACACGATAATTTACAAAAATATAATGCCTGTACATATATGATGAAATGGAACAAAAGTTTATTTTAAATTTATATACGTATTCAGCTAGGAGTACGTAACACCTACTACCTTCGTTATGCCTAATTCCAACAGTTATATCTTGTTGCTGGATGTTGTTGATATTGTCGACGTCTTTGCTGGGTCTAGGGTCGTTATCTGCTAGGAAAACCCCTGGAATGTCTCGTGGAGTTCTTTGCAGGTGTCCTAGTCACTCTTAATTTTGCCCCGAGGGCGAGTTTATTTGGCAGCGCCACTCATCCTGGGAGTGGATATAATATATATATATATATATATATATATATATATATATATATATATATATATATATATATATATATATATATATATATATATATATATATATATATGTCGTACCTAGTAGCCAGAATGCACTTCTCGGCCTACTAAGCAAGGCCCGATTTGCCTAATAAGCCAAGTTTTCCTGAATTAATATATTTTCTCTTTTTTTCTTATGAAATGATAAAGCTACCTATTTCATTATGTATAAGGTCATTTTTTTTATTGGAGTTAAAATTAACGTAGACATATGACCGAACCTAACCAACCCTACCTACCTAACCTAGGTAGCCGAAAAAGTTAGGTTAGGTTAGGTAGGTTAGGTAGTCGAAAAACAATTAATTCATGAAAACTTGGCTTATTAGGCAAATCGGGCCTTGCATAGTAGGCTGAGAAGTGCGTTCTGGCTACTAGGTACGACATATATATATATATATATATATATATATATATATATATATATATATATAACTGAAAACTCACACCCCAGAAGTGACTCGAACCCATACTCCCACAACTGGTATGTACAGGGACGCCTTAATCCGCTTGACCATCACGACCGGACATAAGGAAGTGATAGCCGAGGCTATATGAACCACTTCCCCGCCGGCACTCGGATGGTAATCTTGGGCATAGCATTTTATCAAATCACCTCATTCTTTGGGGCACACGTGAGGAACACAAATGCATTTGTGTTCCTCACGTGTGCCTCAAAGAATGAGGTGATTTGATAAAATGCTATGCCCAAGATTACCATCCGAGTGCCGGCGGGGAAGTGGTTCATATAGCCTCGGCTATCACTTCCTTTTGTCCGGTCGTGATGGTCAAGCGGATTAAGGCGTCCCTGTACATACCAGTTGTGGGAGTATGGGTTCGAGTCACTTCTGGGGTGTGAGTTTTCAGTTGTATATAGTCCTGGGGACCATTCAGGCTTGTTTGCATATATATATATATATATATATATATATATATATATATATATATATATATATATATATATATATATATATATATTATATATATATATATATTATTATATAATCACACACACACGAGAGTTCTTACATTCTTGTAGAGCCACTAGCACGCATAGCGTTTCGGGCAAATCCTTAATCCTAATATTTCCCGGAAAATGACCCGCCAAATCGTTTAACAACCAGGTACCTATTTTAGTGTTGGGTTAAACAGAGGCTACAGTTAAGGATTTGCGCTTAGTAAATCCTCCCCGGCCAGGATACGAACCCAGGACAAAGCGAGTGCAAACTGGAACTAGTAGGTCCATTGTTCATCACAATGAAATGTGTGAAGTAAAACATGTGTATGGGGCAAGTAACAAAGTCAGTAGACTAACAGATGTTGTCACAGCTCGTATAAGACTTGGCTACAAGTATCTCTGGCAGTTCGGCTTGTATAGGGATCTAGATGAAGTAAAGTGTAGAGTGTGTGGACATAGGCAGGGACACACACTCGAACACTATATCTTGGATTGTTGTAAAATTGAGCCTTTTAGAGATAAATCTAAGCTCACTCTGTATGATATGGCAACCTATCTTATTACCATGGATAAATTACCTGAAATCCTTGCACTGTACCCACATTTTGCTTCCAGTAGATGAACGACATATGAGATTCAGAAACAAGTAGTGTATTGTGAGGACTAATAATAAACAGAAGCTCCCCTATGACTCTGTAATATCCCCATTGGCCAAACTATTATGTATTAACGACAAGACCTACCATTAATGTATGATGACTTACTGTAAATATGTAGCTCTTGTAATAGCACTTTCTCTGTAACTAGCTGACATTGTATCTATAAGGTGTGAAGGATTGAAGAAATTGTTTATGTAATAATCTAAGATGAGGTCTGATAAAGACCTTTTGTGCCCTCTGTAATGCTTTTGCGCTACCGCTCACAGGATGAGTATGGGGTGCACAATAAACTAGCCGCCTTCGGCGGCAACAATTCAATTCGAAACGCCAGGTTAGCGTCTTATCACTACGCTATAGGGACTGGGACATACCGTTAACAGCATGTACAACACTCCCCAACAGGAAGAAAACCCGCTGGGTTGTTCATCCTGTCACGTGTATCAGACATAGCTGGGACTTGCTTAACTGTCTCAAGTGACCCAACCGTTCTCAAGCTGGTTTTCTCCTGATTTCTGAATATGGTGTCCAGCCATTCTCAGTGACTTCTAATTTATCTCTGCTCTCTGTAGCTAGAGTTTGTAATATTAACTGTTAAATCATTATATGGATGAGACTCGGCTATCTGCCCAGCACGGTCAAGTTTTTACTTTAATAAAATTTAAAAATTTCAATCACACGAACTTCACAGTGGTGCAGGACGGACCGAAACGTTGTCCCTTCTCCATCTTCAGAGTTGTGGTTTGGTCATCAAAATTGAAAATGTTCTTTCAGTAAAGTTTTTTGTGGTCAGTTTCCATCTTTGTCGTAATCCTTGTCATCTCAAATAGTCTGTCATTGTGTGTGTGTTCCCCTAGTATGTGCTGGCAGAGAAACCGTTCGCCCCTAAACCTGTTTACCCACCTGGGAGGGAGGTTGTGGTGGGAAGGTTGAAAGGTAGATGGGGAAAGAAGAGGGGAAGAGAGAGCCATGAAACAGGGTTCAGAGAAGACGGGAGGGGGTAGAGGCCCGTGAGGCAGGGTGGGCTGCCGTATAGACAGAGCTTCACCTGTTACACCCGAGCACCGCGGGCGGGTCCTCAACAGTGTCTCAGTGTTCGGCCAGGAAAGTAACTTCCAATCTTCTGATAACACATCAAGGTTGGAGGGCCCTTGTGTTTGTGGACTTAACACATTTGTGAGACCAAACTTCAGCTCCTAGGTCCTGCCTCTCCATCTGCCGGGAGTCTTATACAGTGACTAACAGTGACCGCGGTTGTTCAACGTCCTCCCAGCAAGCATAAGAAATATTGCCGGAACAACCGTGGACATTTTCAAGAGGAAACTAGATTTATTCCTCCAAGGAGTGCCGGACCAACCGGGCTGTGGTGGGTATGTGGGCCTGCGGGTCGCTCCAAGCAACAGCCTGGTGGACCAAACTCTCACAAGTCAAGCCTGGCCTCGGGCCGGGCTTGGGGAGTAGAACAACTCCCAGAACCCCATCAACCAGGTATCAACCAGGTAACAATCCCTCTTTGTTGTCATATTTGATTTTAAAATTATGGATGGAGCTATTGCTAAGATCACCCCCCCCCCCCCTCTTCTTGGTTTATTTGCTTGCTACTCTTTTCTAGATCAGGTGTTTCCGGGTCCCTTTTGCTGTCTAGCTTCCATGCATCTCTCGCTACACATCCTAGACATTGCCC